TTTCTTCGATCGATGCCAGATTTCCAGGCTGTTGTGTTACTTTAAATCAGATAAACATATCAAATCAAGTCCATCGTGTTCTAAATTAAGCTTTACATTTCGTATAAAAGCTTTTCTTATACACGTGTACGTGTGTTCGTTATTATATGAGTAATACGAATAAAACTAAATTAGAAATTCTAATATTTTACGAACGTATGTTATACGGACAAAGTCGCGATTGAAATGGCTGGCAGCATATCCGACTTCTCGTGGATAATAATTTCTCATAAATCGAATGACAGCCATCGTGTATTCACTTCTTTCTATTACCAAGGCAGAGAATTTCAATAAAAGACTCGCTGTCAATATATAGATGCAACGCATGTTCCAACAGTCAAGACAAGAACGACTTCAAAAGCAAATCTCTACAGATGTACCTATTCAATTATCGATTGGCCGTATTTTCAGCACTGAGCTGATACTGATAGAAAAAACATGCTCTGAACAAGATGAACGATTTTTACGAATACCATCGAATATTCGAATTAATATATTGGCAATCCCATTACTTTTCGGCTAGACTGTGTTGACCGTGAACGCTGCGCACATACATGCATCTATCTAACCAATACCATTAGATTAAAAATGCTCTCCACCGACCACATCGTTCACTAGGCAAACTAACAGGACGTACAGCGAACAAACATAAAGGACACTCGTGAAAAGCAGCGGTTTTCACAGTGTAACGATCAAAAGTCCAGGCTGAGCGCGACTGCACGTCCGCCATTATGGTACCGACGATGGCCAGTGCAAACGATTCGACCGCGTGCCACCGTGAACACATCGTGTTCATATACGCGAACGCACGTGCAAACACACGTATTTCGTGCACGCGACGACCCATTTCTCCTAATTCAAGAAGAAAAAAAGAAAGAAAAAAAAAATGGGACGGACCCTGTGACAAAAGGGAACGATTCGATGACCTCGCGCTTGTGTCAGCCACAATGTGGACACAGTGGCTAATCCGGGGAATCGTCACGTTAAAAAAAATGCGATCAGATAGGACTTCTCTAATGAGTGGAACACTTCCAGTGGTTGGATTCGATTCAAGCTGACTTGTTAATATCAGGAAGCATTTTTTCTTTTTTTTTTTTTTTTTTTTTTTTTTTTTTTTTTTTTTTTTTTT